TAGGTTTCATCGCTGACTGCTTCAGCTGCTATGTTCATAGCTGCCACTTTCCCGCTAAATAGCGGAAACTCCGCTTCATCTAGCTTTTCCCGCTACTTTCCTCCTTCCTCCGCTGGACCGCTCTCGGCCGCAAATTGCGATACTTTTTTTACACGCGGAAAACACCGAACCGGGAGAGAGACGAAAACGCAGCTTGCGCATGTCCGCCCGTAGCTTTCTACTTCCGTTCTTCTAGGCCTTGCGTTAGTTTCACTTTGTTTATTGTGGAGCAACAAAGTGTCGATTGGGCATCGGGACGTTAGCGCGCCGAGTTGTCAATGAAAACGGCGGAAATTCGAGAGAAATTGATGCTGAATGCAAAAATAAAAGGAGCTGAAATGAGAAAGAAGCTGCCGGTGCGACTTGAAAAGTTCATGAGAAAATTGAACAAACCGCTTGCTGCACTTTGCGTTTGGTGCGATAAAGAAATCGCGGCCCGCGGCACTCCTGTACAATTGCGGTCCCGTTTGTTTACATGAGGGCCAGATTCTAGATCTATATTGTGGCTGTTGATGAAGTGAACACTGAATCTAGATCTAGATAACCTATCTCTAGATATAATCTAGATTTACACATATTTAGATATCTAGATTCTAGATCTAGAACTAGATTAGATAGCCTAGGCTATAATTTTAATTCAGGTTAGATCTACACTCTACAGAGGGACTACTAAGTTAAGTGCAAACGGGACTGCAGTTGTACAGGAGTGCTCAGTACAGCGGCAGAGGTGTTGCCTCCTTGATCCAATACTGCGCGCACTCTACATCGATGTACAAGTTTTAAGTTGAAAGAAATCTTTTTATAAGACACCAGCTTGCAACAAACACTGGATTTTTAGTCACCAAGTCTAAACTGTGTCAAATTGACTCAAATGCTTGATAGTCTACTTAACTTAGTGCCTTTGTTGGGGTTTTTTGTTTGTTTTTTGTTATGTTGTTTTTTTTTTTTCAAATACATTTTAATTCAGTTGCCTATGGTTAACAAATATGACAGTTTTCCCTTCCAAAACCATAGAGGCTAGATTTTCCAGTACGAAGTGGCTAGCCGTACTTAAGTACGTCTAGACTGAGAGTCTAGCCGTACTTAAGTACGGCTAGACTGCCAGTCTAGCCGTACTTAGATCTAGGTTTGGCCCTATCGACTCAAGCCTGTTAAGTACACAGGTCTCAGATCTAGATCTAGTAATTATTCAGGTTCAAATACATGCAAGTCAGTAAGGCACCTTTTGGTTTTGTCTGAAATACAAATACTTTAGGCATTGCAAACTAAAAATTTCATTTACAATTCAGCCATCAATAATAAGTACGGCTAGACTGACAGTCTAGCCGTCCTTAAGTACGGCTAGCCTGGCTGTCTACCCGTACTTAAATACGGCAAGACAAGAAGTCTAGCCGTACTTAAGTACGGCTAGACTGCCATCTAGCCGTACTTATCTTAGGCCCTATTGACATTAGAAAACAGGAGGTTTAAAATACATGCACTGTCATTAAGGCACCTGGTTTCGTCTCAAATACAAATACTTTAGGTACTGCACACTAAAAATGTATATTTACAATTCAGAAGGCCTATTTTTTGTAAATGGTGAGTCTAGCCATCATATTAAGAATAAGTACGGCTAGACTCGCAGTCTAGCCGTACTTAAGTACGGCTAGCCTCTTCCTTTCCTGTATATAGCCTCTGGATCTCACTGGTTTTACTCCAGCCTTCGGAGAGCGCGCATCCGCCTTCGCATGAATTTCCTCCTTTTTTGAAATTCCTGAGTGGCAGCTATGATATCTAGATCTAGGCTAGCCTCGAAACTAGATCAAAGATTTATGTCTGTCTACCTAGATCTAGATCTAGACCTAGGCGACAGATCTAGAAGAACCTATGTCTACCCTGAGCCAAGAGGGCGCAGAAACTCTCCGAAATCACAAAAGAGTTCCCCTTCCGGGTCTGTATACTTTCAAAATACTTTGTGACTTTGTTCCCGGTTACCGGGTCTGTATACACTCCCAAAAAAAACCCAAGAGAAGAGCTGACTATAGTATGTGTCACGTCGCGGTGGAATCAGGCGCTCGTCAGTTTTTAGGTATATATATGGAATTACTGATATCATCTTAAAGTTTATTTGGCTTGCTTTCATAAAAAAATTAACCATCTATCTTTAGTAGAAGTCAAACTATTTGCAAGTGAAGGGGGTATGGGTAGCCTGGTTTCAGAGGTAAAAATCGAGAGAAAATGGCTGCCAAAGTTTGATGAATACTACTGGAGAGCCCTGAGAAACTGAAAACTTACATTTTTTTGGCCATTTGTCAAATGTTTTTCTGTAAAATCTACTCAGATTCAAGTGTTTTTAAATGGATATGAAAGTTGTTTAGCCGATAACCAAAAATTATTTAAAAATTTTAAAAACACACGGAAAATCCTCTTTTTCTTGAAGTTCATTATTTTGACGAGCACCTGATTTCATCACGCCACCTCACATATTATACACTTGAGTTTGGGACTTAAAGTAATACCCAGTTTGGAATGTTTTGTTCAGACTTGAGGGATTCAGGGGCAGTCTTCCAGGTCTTTTTTTTTCTTTTTTCGTTTATTCAGATAATATTAGGGAAAGGGACGGGTTAACCTTTTGGGAAATAGGTTAGGGTAAGTGTTACGCTACCCTAGAATGGTTGCCTTATTTCCTGAATCCATCAAATGCTAATAAAACATGCAGAGCTATAACTTCAGTAAGATTTGACCCTCAGATATCCCCGATAATGATTGCTTTCTGTACTTCTATTCTGTTTTACTGTAATTTTCTGCTTAAAAAATGGGAACATTATGCGTTTTTTCTTTCTCAAGAGCGCTACTGGTCAATACGAACGCAATAGTAAACAAGACTCCACTTGTGTAGAAGTCGCTTCAGTTCATGCTTTTCTCTGGTTTCAGCACCTCTTCGTCTTTACCTTGTTAAAGTCAAACATATAACGATTACACTGTCAACTTCAGCCATACAGTGGGTCACATAGGTGTATTTCGCCATGTTGAATCACTTCTTGCTTTTTTGTATTTTTCGTTTAACAGCTTGTTGGTTGATGGTTGGGCTGTTGTTATAGCTAAGCATGTCGGTCTGAAAGCCCTTCAAAATAACTTTTTATAATAAGCCTGTTATGTTGGCATCGTGTTACAACTGAGATTGTTTTTTTTAGTGAGAACCAAAGTAGTTTTTCTGTGCTCAGGAATACAACATAATGAGCTGCGGTGAGAGAGCGGGTCATTTGCAGAGGTACATGATATTAGTCTTGCTACCATAGGGCACTTGCATCACACTCACATGAACGAATGCGCTCTAACCTTGCTTGTCTCGCCGTTTTTTGTGGTACAATATTACAATCAAATGAGCCGGGAGGAGGGTTTGCTATTGTTATCCTGACAGTTAATGTTGAATTACGGGTGAGCTGTTCTATTTTTTTATTCCCTTGACGAGATCAACTCATCCATAGTTGGCTGTACATTAAACTGCCATTTTGATTTTGAGCTTCTGATCTGTGTAATAATGTAAAAAAAAAAATGCTTCATAATCAAAACTTCACTTGATAAATTTTGTCATGAAGAGTAATATAATTGTTCAAGTATTGTACTTTTATTTTTTTGCTAGTTTTTTCACCATTATATGTTGGTTTTTAACATAATTTTGGTTCATTTTTGTGGAGTAATGATAAACTAAGGCATATAGATCAGTAAATTAGGACTGTGACACCAGTATTTGTTAACAAAAATTGCCAGTGAAGGATCAAAACAAATAAGATTACCACAAATGTTCAGAACCTGGTGCAGAAAGAAAACACATTCTCTGAGGGTAGTGTTTGTGTTTGCTCTTGACTTGTGATTTGGCAGACTTTGATCCTGGTTTGTATTTAACTTGGTCCTGGTTTCTGTTCACCTTAGGACAGATGGGCAGAAAGTGTGTTCAACAAAATTGCAGACATTGAAAACTTTACAGTAATCGTCTTTGAGCTGGCATGGAAATAACCCACCATCCCATTGCTTTCTTTGCCTCGGGTTGCGATTCCCCATCTGAGAGGACCATTTCAACTGTTTGAAAAAATAACAAACAATAAGAGCTGACTGAAGCCTGATAATTTGTGGAGGGGGGGGGGGGGGGGGGGGGGTGTGTGCTTGCCAACCTGGCCTACACCGCCGACTAGTGGTAATTATTGTGGGCGATGGGGATCACCCGCAAGTGACAGGTATTTTATTAAAAGCCCTGCAAAATTTTAGCCTCTTAAAAGTGGAAAAGGGCCACTGGCACTAAAAAGGGTTGACAAGGACTGTTGTAGATTTTATTTGACTTTTAGCCTTTGATCAGGCTCTTACTGAAAATCTATGAAAGTAAAAATTCCCACTGCAGTGGACAAGTTAAAAAAAACAAAAAAAAAAACAAATAACGCTTGATAGTTGATCACCGTTGTTGAAATTGGGTTACAATGCCAAGCATAAATATTATATTTAATGGAGTGCTTATTGGCCCACAGGGGCATATATGATATCCCCTAGAACATTTCTTATTTGCCAACAAAATTGCGAGTTATCTCCCCTGTATTTAGTCTCCCCCGAATATATATATATATGCATGCAAAGTACACAGTATTATACTCAAATGCGGACAGTTTTACAAACATGCCATTACTGGTCGCGACTGTGCAATGCCCTGGTTTTTCTGGCTACGGTTGTTGTGTCTCGCTCAAGGACACACCCCAGTGATCACCAATCTTAACATAGTGTCACTGACATTTGCTGGACATGTTAGTCCGAATTCGCTAACCACGCTGTCATATGACCGCATGCAGTTGCGAGCGCCGTAAAAACCTTAACTAAAACTAAACATGCTCTGGTGTTGTTTGCTTCTTTCTTCCTATCAAGCATCTATTGTCTTTATCTCCCTTCTTTCTTTTTTGTGTTTGTTACTCTCTTGCAACACCTCTAAATCTTCGACACTTATTATCTTATTGTGTTGCAAGTGCCGTAATACTCTTACTAAAACTAAACTAACCGTTCTGTCACTGGAGCCCCTGGCTTTGATCTCATGCAAAAACTTACTGTGTGAGATTTTAAAAAACACCCTGAAAAAAACAACAGGATAAACATATGATTATACGTCAACTGGAACAACACAGAAATGTAATCAGGTGGATATTTTAACGTAAAGATGATGACAGTCACATTCTCACATGACACCCAGTGACACACAAGGCAGCAGTAATAGGGATTGATTCTGTTCCCGATTTTTTTTTTCATGATAGGAAGGAAGATGAAAACTCTCCCAAATTATTTTGGAACTACGCATCATGTCAAAGCGGCCCCAGTGCTTCACTCTAGGTCTCAGCTCCAAATAAGATTTTATCGTACTATTGTCCTACGAGTTCCTGAGCAATTAGTTAAGACCTCTTTTGTGATGGACTTGTTGACCTTAATGGGCAAAACGGTGAAGTCATGTTGAAAATACATGTATAAAAGAAAATGTAGATGTCTAAAATGAAATGTAAAATTTGTTAGAAAGGGGTGTTGCAGGCCATACATTTTTTAAAATCTGTGCATAACCAATTGAGGTGCAAACTTAATGGTGAAATAGCACTCATGACCTGTATGTAATTTAGATCGTCATCTTTTTGACATCCCTTGTAGTAAATGCTCACCTCTTTTTTTTTTCTTCTATTTTTCAGACATTCGGCTCAGTAACAAAATGAAAGTTGACAGATCAAAGTTAAAAAAACCCTCCTCGGAGGTGGTAAGTAATTTTTTGTTTTGTTGGTGGAGTAATAGCTATGAATTAGACTTTTTAAATGCTTCAGCGAATGAAAAGTACTTGTGTAAATTTTTCTTATCTGGGGTGGATTGGAATTTGTTCAAAGGTTTTTCTGTTGTTCAAACTTGACTTTCAGCTGTGTAGTTTTAATTTATTTGAGCTTAGAAGCAAATTGAGGTAAGCACAACATTTAGAATTGTTTTTATTAATATAATTTACTGGTATAGAGTAATTTAGTTTTATTTTTGTCACACAGTACTGGTTGTAGCTCAATGGTTTTTCCAGTAGAATATATATGCTTACTGTAAGATTGAGCTGCGGAGTTTTAATTAAACTATATTATGGCAGATTTGAACTCTGTCCATTGGGAAAGGGATACTGGGGTGCAGTTATAGTGAGTACGGGTTCTTTTCAGATTCAGTTCATAGTTGTAGGTGTTATGTAGAGTATTTCTAGGTCGTGCAGTGATGATGGGACATTGTCGTCATTTAAGAAATGTTGCCAATTGTAAGCATAAATGCTTGTGTGCCGTACTATAATATAATGTCTTTGAAATGTGTATTTTACTTCTTTCCATTTCCATGTTTCAGCCTGCTGAGTGCAAGGTTCTAATAGACAAGCTCAGAGGCCTATCAGAGGATGACTTGTGCAGGGAATTGGGCGAGATCAAAGTTTGGACGTTTGGCAAGGTATGGCTGTTTTGTTACTCAATTCATGTAAGGTCTTTCTATGGTAAGGGTCGCATGATGACAATCTGTGATGTGTCGTATATCCCGATTGGGGGGGGGGGGTATATGCTATCAAATGGTGCCAAGGGTTTTATTTCTAAAAATTGATTTTATGTGTCTATTATTATGGTGTTTGTTTGTTTGTTATTCTTGTACAGAAATGGGTGGCTTACAGCTGTTTTTTTTTTTTTCCTTCTCATTTTTCATGCTCAGTACATTGAAGAACAGATTTTAAGTAGGTCTTCATCCTGCTTTTATGTTTTCCCTCAGACTCTCTTCCTGAGAACAAGCTCACTTTCAGTAATTCCTGTTTTGAGGTCCACATGTGAACTTATGCTTACTATATTTTTTAACTGATGTGTTTAAAAAAAAATAGAATCAGTGAATTTTGAAAAGCCAGGCATTAAAAAAAAAAAAAGTTTTGATAGATGATGTTCAGGCCTCTCCCCATTCAAACATCTTTTTGTTTCTAGGATTGGTGGTTTAAATAGAAAATAAATTTTGAACTTAATTTGCAGGAGTTGGTGGACATTTTTCCTCATTTAGTTACAGGTCCATATCATCTCGTGTTGTGCTTTTCTTCTGCTTTCCAGTGTGAGCTTTATCACTGGGCAGACATTCTGGATATATTTGATGCCATCTTGGAGAAATCTTGTGCCAAAGAAAATGAAAAGAAATGGACTCTCCATTGCGATCTGCCAAGCAATGTACAGGTGAGGATCAGTTTCACTATTTCATGGTTTGTTGTAAAACGTTAGTCTCCAGGCATTAGACTAGGAAAAGTAATTTTTAAGTGTCTTGCCTGGGGCTAAATTTTTTAAAACTTTGGGATTGGTATCTCAAATCATATTTTTTGTATGCCTCTGCTATCTGCATGAAGCTTATTTGGGACACATGTGTTGTATTGTTCAGAGTATGTGACTCTTATTACCATTCATTCGTCTTGTAAAAGGTACCACACTGAGGTTTTTTTTTTTTTTTCTTTTCAATAACATCCTATTGATATACTTGTGAATTCTACTGTATAGTGCATGACTATTTCAGTGCATCTAGAGTTCTTGCCAAAGTCTGAAAACGAATATGAATTCTGCTGAAAGTGAATCACCGCGCAGACATTTGGCCTGGCAGACATTGTGTATACACAGCCTTTCTACCATTTGTCTCTTGGTCCCTGCTTTGTAGGAAGCTATTATCTCATATATTATGTATTAAATTAAAGGTTGTTCTCATGTGTTCCCCCCCTGCATATATAGCTCTAGCTGTTTTGTTGTTGAGGTGACTCATCAGTTATAAGGTCGTTGGTGGTTGGCGGGTGCTCTGGTGTGGTTTGCTCCTTCTTTCCTATCAAACATCTATCTTCCTTATCTCCCCTTCTTCTTTTTTATGTTTGTTACTCTCTTGTAACGCCTCTAATCTTCTGGCACTCATATGACCTTATGCAGTTGCGAGCGCCGTAAAACCTCTACCAAAGCTAAAAAGTTATACGGTCATCTCTTCTTGCCCAGGGTAAAAAAAAACCCATCATTTTACAAAGGGGGAATCCCTGTCTACATCACCCTTATAACAGGGACCCCAAGAGAATGGATTAATTTACTCTATAAAGTGTGGTTAGCATTTGAATATTCCCCAAATCTATTTTAACATTAAATAACTATATTTTTTTTGCTTCTCCCTTCCAGCTGAAGAGACTGCTACTGGAGATATTGCGCTTCACAGCGCTGTTGATAGAGCACAGCTTCTCCAGGCACCTCTACAACTCGATGGACCACCTCACTACATTACTGACCTCCTGTGACATGAGCACTGTACTCTACGTGCTGAATCTGCTCTATGTGTTCAGGTTGGTGGTCAATTGTTCGCAGTTTGATTACGTTTGGTCTCAAATTAATCCTTGTTGGTTTGTTTGGTCAGTTTTATGGCTGAATAGGAAGGTAGAGACTGAAGTTGAAGTTTTATACAACCGTTCAGATACTTTGTAATCATTCTTTTTAATGGCGCTCATATGACCTTATGCAGTTGGCGAGCGCCGTAAAACCTCTACTAAATCAAAACTTTCTTTTTAAATGCAAGTGAATGGATTAACTCTCACAAAGAAAAGTACAACATACACTGTTAACCTTCTAGATGAACCTCGGATAAGTTTGTTTTCATGAATCAAGACTCCCTGTTTTCGGTTCCACAGTAAACGATCAAATTTCATCTCTCGGATGAATCCAGAGAAAAAGCAAGGCCTGATACAGAGACTGGTACATCTGGCTGAGGTGAGTGGGACATGGAATTGGCTTAGTTGAATTTTTTAAATACGATCTTTGATTTTATAAAGTAGTATGCTTCGATGTTGGTTGCGGTTCAGTTAAAATAAATGTATCATCAACACTTATTGTATGCCGTTACTTCCAAAGAATATAAAGTCTTTTCAGTCTGAGCTTTTTTCTGATATTAGGGGATACTTGCAAAAGTACAAGCTAAATGTAATTGAAGTAATTATAATGCCCTGTTTTTGTTGCACAGGTAACTTTAATTGACGTTTGGCGACAACCTGTATTTCTTGCTCTTTTTATTTTTAAATTTTCTTTTGGTACAGAGTTGGGGTGGCAAGGAGAATGGCTTTGGTTTAGCTGAATGCTGTCAGGATTTACCTTCTGGGGTAAGTGTTTATGCTGTAACAAAATATAGAACTAGTGTTTATAGTATGTTCTGCTACAGCAAAGGATAGTCTATGACTTATGACCATTGCTGCATTAGATCGATCGCTGGTATCTGTGATGTAGCAATTAGACGTTTTGCTGTGGCGTGCTGGAGACCGATTTCAATTCTCGAGCGGGGAGGAAATTTTTATTGTGTATCTCTGTCTCTGTGCTGGCATGTTGTACCCTTCTCAGCCCTGGTCGGCCCTGTCAGGCAGGGTTGGAAGCCTGCCTCCCAAATGATCTAAATTGTGTCGGTCAGGGCGTAGAAAACACTTACATTAAAAAAAACCCCCCAGCATTTTAATTTAGATTTACCACCTTTTGCTAAAATGAATCACATGCACGTTTCCTTAGATCCACACTCCGGGTGTGTAAGTGGTGCCAGTATCCAGTGTTGCTCTTTGCTGGATTTCTCCCTGTGCCCCCAGCACCCAAACAACCTGACCGGCTGTTCATGGAGTGTGCTTGAGTCATTGGCGTGCAACAGTAGATATACCTCTGCGTGTTTAGCGTTTGTCTTGTAGTGGGTACATACAGGTTTGCTCTGAACCTGTGTGGTACTGTTGATTCTACAAGGCTGCTAACTCACAGGGACACTCTTTGCTAAGGCACATTTAGCTTGCACATGTAAGAAGTTTTGAAGGCAATACCATGTCCCTTTTTCTACTCACCAACCTCCCAGGTAAAACTCTATACTTACGTTTATTTAAATAATTTTTTTTGACTTTATACGCTTGCAAGTAGTCATCACAGTTGAGACAGATAATTATTTGCCTTGTGTTTAAAAAATTCTAAAAAGATAAAAGTTCTGGTAGATATATCATTATATGTAGTATTTGGAATACGGTCACTTTCCTGCTACTGTGATTGTCTTGATTAAAACTGTTAGATTGTTATGCAAATTTTTCTATCAAGTCCGTTTTCAAAGTTTTGAGGCAGTGTACTTTTTGTTTGTTCCAAAGCTGATTATAATGTGCGACGTACTTTGAACTTTTATTTGTATAGAGAAAATGAGCCAAAAATTAAGACATTAATTGGTTTACTTCAACATACGCACGTTTCCTTAGATCCACACTCCGGGTGTGTAAGTGGTGCCAGTATCCAGTGTTGCTCTTTGCTGGATTTCTCCCTGTGCACCCAGCATCCAAACAACCTGACCGGCTGTTCATGGGGTGTGCTTGAGTCATTGGCGTGCAACAGTAGATACACCACTTCGTGTTTAGCGTTTCTTTGTAGTGGGTACATACAGGTTTGCTCTGAACCTGTGTGGTACTGTTGATTCTACAAGGCTGCTAACTCCCAGGGACACTCTTTGCTAAGGCACATTTAGTTTGTACATGTGTAAAGTCTTGTAGGCATTCGCATGTCCCTTCGTTTACCCTCCCCCCCCCCCCCAAAAAAAAACCCCTCTGGTTTTATTTAATACATTTTTTGGCTGTATATACTTGAGAGTAGTCACCAGAGTTGAGAAAGATAGTTATTACCCTTGTGTTAGAAAAATTCTAAGAAGATGAAAGTCATGGTAGATATATTGAGACTAAGGTTACTCGCTGTTACCATGTTTGTCTTGATTAAAGTTGATGTTAGATTGATATGCAAATCTTTCAATCAGGTCCATTTATTTTCAAAGTTCTGATGCAGTGTACTTCTTGTTCTTTTGCAAAGCTGACTAGTGCAACATACTCTGAACTTATATTTGTATCAAGAAAATGAGCCAAAAATTCAGACATTATTGTTTAACTTCGACATACGCACGTTTCCTTAGATCCACACTCCGGGTGTGTAAGTGGTGCCAGTATCCAGTGTTGCTCTTTGCTGGATTTCTCCTTGTGCCCCCAGCACCCAAACAACCTGACCGGCTGTTCATGGAGTGTGCTTGAGTCATTGGCGTGCAACAGTAGATATACCTCTGCGTGTTTAGCGTTTGTCTTGTAGTGGGTACATACAGGTTTGCTCTGAACCTGTGTGGTATTGTTGATTCTACAAGGCTGCTAACTCACAGGGACACTCTTTGCTAAGGCACATTTAGCTTGTACATATGTAGAGTCTTGTAGGCAATCTCATGTCCCTTAGTTTAACAACCCCCTCCCCCGCGGTAAAACTCGTGTTTATTAAAAAAAAAATTTTTTTTTTGTTGCCGTATAATATGCTTGCAAGTAGTCATCAGAGTTGAGACAGATAATTATTAGCCTTGTTTTTTAAAAATTCTTAAAAGTTGAAAGTCATGGTAGATATATTTAAAATAAGGTTACTTGCTGCTACCATGTTTGTCTTGGTTAAAGTTGATATTAGATTGTTATGCAAATCTTTTTATCAGGTCCATTTATTAAAAAAGTTTTGGTGCGGTGTACTTCTTGTCAGTTGCAAAGCTGACAAGTGCAACATACTCTGAACTTATATGTGTATCAAGTAAATGAGCCAATAATCAAGACATTAATTAAAAAGTAAAAATTCATAATGGCGGTCCTGCAATGGAATGCCGGCGGAATCCGACCTTCCATTGCAGAATTGCAACATTTACAGG